CAGAAGGATGCGTGCCAATACTATTTTAAATATTTTAATGACTCAATGAATGAATTAGTGATACAATAAATATTTTATTGATTCAAAATATATACTTTATAAATTTCTATTTTTTGTATAAAAAGACTTTTTTGTATAAAATGTTAAACTCTAAATTTGAACCGGATATTGTATAAATCACAGAACAATTAAGCAAACGACTTAATGAGAAGAAGAAATCGATTTAGGAGTTTTTAAACATTCTGGAATAAAGAGCTGAAATAGAAGATGTGTATTCCAAGAGTCTTGAGAAGATAGGTAAATTAATAAAGTAAGAAAAGGAAATGAATTAAGTAATATAGTTGAGAATACACAGCAGGATAGCTTTACAGATATCATGCAATATGTCAGAAATTATCTTCTAATTTCAAGTGAGTAGAGTAAAGAATTGTATTAGTAGTTGAAAAATAATGTTGTTTTAGAATTACAGAACACCATTAGCCTTGATTAAGGATGGATTAATGAGGTGAATAGGATTTAAAGTAAACATTCTAGGGAGGTTAGAAGGAATATAGAGGAATTGCATGCATTACAAGATGATTACAATTAAGCATTGTATGAGGAAAAGTTTTATTTGGAAGGTAAGATCACTTCTAAGAAGAGGAATCACGAGAAGAGCGAAACGAATTTAAAATAGTTCATTCTTTATTATAATTAATATTTAGACACATATTTTTAGGATATTGCCTATATTCAAGACATATTTCTTAATATAGAAATTGATAGGAGAAAATTGGTGTAGGATGCTGGAATGAAATTGTTTATGTATGAGATATCATTGATCAGAAATTTACAATATGACATTAGTGGGATCACTTAGAAAATAGAGCAATATAAAAGCAATAATAAATAGAGTGAGTTACTCATCATTCAAACTAATGATAGGCCTCTTCTCTCTAAATTAAATGTTGAAAATTATATACTTTCTCTGAAATAATAATACAATTTAGATGAAAATTAGCGTAAGAAAAAGTAATTAGCTGAAGGACTAAACGGATCTGATTAAAAGAAGGTTGATTTTATATAGGCAAATTCATCGGATTATTTAAAGTACAATAAGATGTTTGAATAAGCATTAAGGTTTTCTGAGATCAATGATGACATTATCAAACAGTTGATAAATCTATTACAAAAAACCAAAGCATAGTAATTTTATGATGCATTTATTTCTACTATTTAAAAATTATCTAACCAAAAAAATGATTATTCTGTTACACCTTTGGGATATCAAACTTGTTTGAAGTTGTCAGATGTTTTATTAGATTATTGTAATAATTAGAATACAAATGCGTAAATAGTGATTAATCTGCTTAAGTTTTCAAAAAATATTTACAAAATGTTGAGCGTTTAAGATTAAGAGAATGTGGAGATATAGGAGACCATTAAATTTTCTTTATTTGGTAATTATGAAGTTCATTACAGAGGGTTTAAAGAATCATGAAGTTTTATAGAATAAAAATTTATGGAATGATTATGTGCGATCCAAAGAATAGATCGATGAACTAATAGAGTTAAATTGTCATGAGAGTTTGTTATAATATCTGAACACAAAAATAAATTGTTGACAAATAGATTTGTTGATTATGCATTTTATATAATTTTAATAATATGAATGAATCAGAGTTTAAAAAATACAAGATAGATTTGAAAGTTAGAGAAAAAAGCTCAGCAACAACTTTATGGTTAGTTATTTATATTTGCTTCATCTACCTTCTCTTTGGATCGTTTAATATGTGTGGCAAAATTTTCTTGACATGTGCATACATCTATTCATTTTCAGAAAGCATTTCCTAATTGGATTATACCTCAATAAATTTAGTTAATTTTTAGTAATCTTTTTATGTAGAATATTGCTAGATGGTTTCTATTTCAATTGGTAGGACCTTTAAGCCTTCCATTCATACCTTATTTAATTGGCAAAATGAAATTCAGATATATTTTAGTGGCTGCATCACTTGGTCCAATTATATTCCTGACACCAGCACCCTATGCTTGTTTGTGTAAGGATTCTTAATCACCAGGTTGTGATAAGGCCTTTATATATTTATGTGCAATTTTAGTATCTATAATTGCGGGTTTGATGCAATCAATATTACTATTTACCATGCTATTTTACATATCCAATCTATCAAAAAGTCAAGAAAAAGTGATTTATTATGGTTCATTTTTTTTCATGTAATTTACAAATTGTAATTAGTCATTCCTTGTAATGGTTGCTTGGAAGTTTGATAGGCGAAGTATTCCTTACATATGATATGAATTAAGACAACTCCATTTCCAAAGTTTTTGGTTTACTTATTCTATTACAATTTGTTGTGAGTCTCCTTTATTTGTCCATCCCTGAAAAATCCGATGGTCGTTATGATAAATTTCATAGAACAATATTTGAATATTTCAATAACAAAAGTCAAAAGCAGTCTAAATTAGAATAAACTGGTGGAATTAGAGAATTGCTCCTAAAATCAACTTATATTAACAGCGACAATGATGATGAAAGTGATACATTTAAAAATGCAGAGGAAACTTCTAGATCCCAATCGAAATCTGCAGTTGATTTGCATTTATTTAAATCTTAAATGTTTCAAAATTCTAATACCAAATCAATTATGACTTTGTAGTGCTTCTCCATAGAAGAACAAAGCTTAGTAGAACTCTTAGAATCAACAAATCAATAGACAAAGAATTCCATATCAATTGATGAATATTAAAATCGCAACTACTTTTAGAACATTTAATTAACCTTTGAAAAACTGTGTCAAGAAGGATTTTTATCAGTTCTGCTTTTGCTATGTTTTATTGCCTGCATTTAAGCATTTTTGTTTATATATTTTTTTCCATTTTTTGCTTATCCAGGAATTAAGAAATTAACATTTCAAGCCAGATTGGTACTATAGGGATATTTGTATGTAGGTGTTGGTGAATTATTTGGTTCATTTGGAATCGGTTGGCTAGGAGATTCCAAAGATTAAATTAAGTATCCATTTATTTACAATATATAAGCGCCCTTATCTACATTCTTTAAATATTCTAATTCGACTACTGGATGAGATGTGCAACGTCACGGTT